TTTTTTGGCGTTACAGCCTCAATTTTGACCTTGGCCTACCTCCATGAAACTCTCCGTTTCACTTCGGTTTACTGGATCTTAGACATTCGGTAGGACTACTTGGGCGGGTGATCAGCTCGTCACAAGGCCTCTACCTGCACACAAACACAGAAAATTGTTAAAATTAACATTATGATAAAATTATTGATGTAGACCGTATTTACTGCAGTTTCTTGTTACAAGGCCTTTAGTTTTACATTTTCTTTAGTTATATTGAGGCATTAATCTTTAGTAGTTTCATTTGAATACTGGTATATTGTAAGATAATTTTTGCTTGAGGAGGCACGCAGTAGCAGTTTGTTGAGGCACTGTGCTATAAGCCGGACAGTAGCGGGTTCAATTCCCATTGAGGTCATTGGAATTTTCAATTGACTTAATCCTACCAGCCGCATTATGACCCTGGGGTCGACTCAGCCTCTAACAGAAATGAGTATCAGGATTCTTCCTGGGGGGTAAAGGGCGGCCTGAGCATAAGGCTAACAACCTCACCGCCTCCTGTGAGTCGACTGTCTATAAAATGTTGGAGTCTCGACATCTCTCAACCCTATGGGCCTCTACGGTCTATTACGATGATAGCTGTATCTTACCTTTCCCAGTTTTTGTTCGATAAGCATCGTGTGTGTCTGTGGGGTTAACCTTTCCCATAGACTATCTATACTGAAGTAAGATATAAGTCACCGACTTAGTAAATCCAGTTTATTTCCTTATTCAGACCACAAGTTGTTAAAACTCCGATAAGTTCGTTCACCCCCTGAAATAGTCTTGCAAGACAGAAACACACCGGTGTTTAAAACTTGTAGTCAGCACAAGGAAATAAACTTGATATATAATACTTAGACTGTAAATTACATCTTGCTATGATAGAGTTTAGTATACCAGAAAATAAAACTTCTCCCAATAGTAGATTCTAATTTACGAGCACTCTTTAGAGAACCTCAATAACAAATAAACTCTCGTGGTAACACCACTGTAATTTTATGTCTGGTCATGCCTTAGTGCCGATCACAGTGGCCGTGCGGTCTAAGGAATTAACTGTCTTCGCTCGTTCGAACGTTGGGGTCGTGAGTTCGAGCATCGATATCTGTGTGCTTTTAATCTGTGTTTGTCTTGCCCTGTGTGCAGGTAGCGGCCTTGGGACAGGCTGATCTCCCGTCCAAGGAGTCTTACGGACTGTGTAAGAAAATCAAGAAACTGAAAAAGCAGCCATGGTCCAACAAAAGGACTGTAGAGCCATAGATACATTTCTATAGTCATACCTTATGATCTATATTATGTCAAGGGGTTAACAACTCTCCAGTTAGAAATGTGAAAATTCCGTCTGCATTGCTACAAAAATCAACGAGATGTGGTGCCACCTGGAACAAGTGCGTGATCACTGTTATCTGACTTTCGTGTTACTTCGTATTCTGTCTTGCTTCTGATCTTGAAAATCTCTGCTGTAATATCAGATAGCAATAGCATAAAGCCCCCTTGTTTCAGTTGGCACACATTTTGTCTTGCTGCTGCTAGACTCTATGCAGGTCACACTCCTATCTACCATTTTTGCAATATAGTTAAAAAAATATTCTATTATATGAGGACAAATAGCTCTTAGTGGCTGAAATTCACTTTTGGCTATAT